AGTTTATATGTCATTACATGGTATCTACCATCTGGTCCTTTCTTGTGTTGTTGAAAGTTCCGCACAGACCAAATGAAAATTCTTGAATGCCTTAGCTTCCCAAAATATGGTAATGAACTAAGTGATTAATTCTGTGTTTCTACATGAGATTAATTTATGGAAACTTCTGGCTGACTACAATTTATTTTTACATCCTACATGAAGAAATTAGTCAATTTCCCATCTTTTCTAATGGTATGTTGTTCCTTATTTGAAACTTTCTCGGAGTATGAATTTGGTGCAACTTTATATAGTCTTCAAGGATGATAAATAGGAGTCCTTGCATTGCACTACTCTCATCAGGCAAATTTTGTGACGTTGATGGGTATTACAGTACATTGCTTTTAAGTACTCCATCTGTCCCATTTTACATTTTATTTTGGTTTGTGCAAAAATACTTGTCATGGCTTAAAAATGGAATTAAATAAAGCTCAACTTTCCTATTATACCCTTTGTACTATTTCTGAGAAGAAAAGATTTATGTTCCCTCAATAATTAGTGTTATAAACCATCTTTGTAGTTTGGTAGTTGTGTTCCAAAGTCAACCTACAAAATATTGAACTATGATTAAGGGGGCAATAATGGAAGAGTCGCTTCAGTAGCTGATGTGTTTTGGACAAATTTTATGTTTCCTAAACTATGTGCAAAGTAGACCAAGACATACAAAATGGGATGGAGTATGATCTTTTTCTTTCTTCATCTTGTTTCTTCTGACAAAAATAAGTGAGAAGTAAGCTGTATGGTTTTGCTCAAACTGCCTGAATATTCAAAATCTTGGGTGATAATGAAATAGGCAAATCGTATGATTGAAAAGGAGTTGGTCCTAATAAAACAATTCTTTAAGTAGTTAATCTTATACAGCTGAAGATATTGCTCCTATTCTTCAGAAGTGTTGGATGTCCATATTATAAAAATAATGAGGTAGGCTTGATTTTAGTGCTTGCATGTGGGGGAATTTGGGTTAAGCATCAAGTGAAGATGGCAGTAAAGAGGAATTGCATTATTTATTTATGGTCGCTCATGTTACTGTTTCTTTTACTATATGCTTATTTGGATTATGAACATAAATGGTTCATTATTAGATATAGCATTGTTACTTTAGTATAAGAAGAACCTTTTAGATATCATCCAATGTCCTGAGTGTGTTTTTTGCATATCAGTACATTAGTTATCTAGTGCTCATTTGGATTTTGGGTATTATTAGTTTATTATCCATTGCTTTTTTAATGGAATCACAACCTTATAGATCTTATCCAACTATTAGTTTGTCTATTTGTTTGGTAAACTGAAATTTGTGTTGCATGTGATATTGGACCATGAATTTATGAAGTGATGCTTGTCTGGATGCATGTTGTCTCATAAATACTCTTGCAGTATCCTTTCTGCAGACTTTCTGCACGTGACTATGCATGACGAGGTCAGCATTGAGGGTGTAAGAGCTAGCACCAGCATAGCTACAAATGGAAAGGAGGAGAAGGTAAGCGCCATTTCTGTCAACTTATTTTTTCTCTCATTAATGTATGTACTGCATGGGTGCATTCAATAGGTTTCACCCTTTTAAAAGCACAATCTTTAGCACTTTGTTGATGGTTTAGGCTTTTAGTTCTTTACAAAATATGTGAAGAACTGCTATCTGTTTGAATCAACTCAATTAAGATATATGCTTAGGCTGCGCTATTCTACTTGATGTTGTGAATCCTCTAATTTGCTCAAAATATTTGTTTGTTAGAAATAAAAATGTTCAAAGTAAGATAGCCAAGACAGTGAGGATTGTAAACTTTAACAGAAAAGGAAAAAATGAACAAAAAACTCTCCTTTTCTTTATTTTCCCACTAACTAAATATGCTTACAAGGTAGGCATATATAGGACAACCCTATCATAGTTCTGCCACCACTTAAGGTAATAGAACCATGATTTTAGGGATTACATAATCAACTCATATCCTATCTATTCAAACTTGATTGATCATAAGCAATAAAATCCCATAATTATGGGAGGTAATTATGGAAGATAATATCTCCCATAATCATAGGAGATAATATCTTCGACACCCCCCCTCAAGTTGGTGCGTATATATTTATCATGTCCAACTTGCTTGTAAGAAGTTCAAAATTTGGTCTGAGGAGTCCTTTGGTGAGAATGTCAGCTATTTGCTGAGCTGATGGAACGAATGGCATGCAGATAATTCCTCCTTCAAGTTTCTCTTTTATGAAGTAGCGGTCAATCTCAATATGTTTGGTTCTATCATGTTGCACAGGATTATGAGCTATGCTAATTGCCGCCTGGTTATCACAATAGAGCCTCATTGGAAGTTCAATAGGTCTTTTCAGCTCCTCTAAAACTCTCTTCAGCCATAACATCTCACACACACCATGAGCCATAGCTCGGTACTCTGCCTCTGCACTACTACGAGCTACAACACTTTGTTTCTTACTTCTCCAAGTAACCAAATTGCCCCATACAAAGGTACAATACCCCGAGGTTGATCTTCTATCAATGACTGATCCTGCCCAATCAGCATCTGTATAAGCTTCAATGGTCTTTCGATCTCCTCTTTTAAAGAACAATCCCTTTCCTGGAGTACTTTTTAAGTACCTCAGAATTCGATATACTGCATCAAGGTGCTCTTCATATGGAGAATGCATAAACTGGCTCACAACACTCACTGAAAAAGCTATATCAGGACGAGTGTGAGCCAAGTAAATTAGCTTGCCTACTAACTTTTGGTATCGAGCAGTATCAACTGGTGTTCCATCTTTTATATCTGCTAACTTGTGATTCGGATCCATAGGAGTGTCTGCAGGTCGACATCCACTCATCCCTGTTTCCTTTAAAAGATCCAAAACATACTTGCGTTGGGACACAACAATGCCCTTCTTGGACCGAGCTACCTCCATCCCTAAGAAATATCGTAGTGTTCCCAAATCTTTGATTTCAAAGCTAGAAGCAAGACTTTTCTTCAGCCGTTCCATCTCAATTAAGTCATCTCCTGTGAGGATGATATCATCCACGTACACAATGAGTACTGCTATCTTCCCGTCCTTGGAGTGTTTAACAAACATGGTGTGATCACTCTGAGCTTGGGTATAGCCTTGATTCTTTACCGACCTAGTAAATTTTTCAAACCAGGCCCTAGGAGATTGTTTGAGACCATATAACGATTTTCTTAGCTTGCAAACTCTAGACTGAAACTTCCCTTCAAATCCAGGGGGAGACTCCATGTACACCTCTTCCTCCAGATCACCATTTAAAAATGCATTCTTGACATCAAGTTGTTGGAGCGGCCAATCAAGGTTTACTGCTATTGAGAGAAGCACCCTAACAGTGTTTAATTTTGCCACTGGAGCAAAAGTTTCAAGATAATCGATCCCGTAGGTTTGAGTGAACCCTTTAGCCACCAATCGAGCTTTGTACCGTTCCAATGTCCCATCGGAATTATACTTGATGGTAAAGACCCATTTACATCCTACTGTCCTTTTCCCTTGTGGCAGGTTTGTTACTTCCCATGTTTGATTCTTCTCAAGAGCATACATCTCTTCTTCAATAGCCTTTCTCCACTCTGGAACTTGTAATGCTTCCTGTACATTCTTTGGAATTTCCACAGAAGAAAGTTGTGAAGTAAATGTCAAGAAGGTAGGGGATAACTTTTCATAAGAGACATAGTTAGTCATAGGGTGTTTGGTACAAGAACGCACTCCCTTTCGAAGTGCAATAGGAAGATCCAAATCAGCAATCTTTGAATCAGAGGAAACTTTATCTAATGACTCAAAAACATTAAATTCTGTCCTAGGTTCGGATTCCTTGTCGTGAAGAGAAGGGGGAGCTTTATCTTTTCCTCGATGATTTTTCCGGACATAGGTTTTCAAGGTTTTTTCAGTTACATTCCCATCTCTTTCACTAAGAGAATTCGACTCTGTTATTGGCACTAAAGACAAGAGATCCTCTTCTAATCCCTGATCAATTTTTTCACGTTTTTCAAAATCCTTTTGACGGGCAAATTGAAGAGTGTCATTTGTTTTTTCAGGATTATTATCTTGAAAAGATTCTTGTTGAGGAAATTGTGCTGCAGATTCTTCTAAAAAATCAGAAAAATCAATTCTCCTATCAACAAAATTTTGATCAGGAATTTGATTTTCAATACGAAAAACATCATCATCTTCTACAAGTTCTTCTACATGCCGAGTCCCCCCCTGAAGAGGATCTCCAAAGAAAGGTTTATCTTCAAAAAATGTTACATCCATGGTTACAAACATTTTTTCGAAATGGGGTCAAAGCATTTATACCCCTTTTGCGTGGGTGCATATCCAACAAAAATGCATTTTCTTGCTCGAGGGTCTAACTTACTTCGACCTTGTTCATGATTGTGAACAAAGGATATGCACCCAAACACCTTTAATGAGACTTCATATGTTAATCGAGACATGGGATAAATGGTTTTGAAAAAATTCAGAGGAGTTTGGAAATTCAAGGTTCTTGAGGGCATTCTGTTTATGAGATATGTAGCAGTTAAAATTGCTTCGCCCCATAGATATTTAGGAACATTTCTTGAAAAAAGTAATGCCCTCGCCACTTCTAAAAGATGTTTATTTTTTCTTTCAGCTACGCCATTCTGTTGTGGGGTATCATTGCAGGAGCTTTGATGCACAATCCCTTTTTCAAGAAAAAAACTTCCCAAAATTTTATTGAAATATTCTTTTCCATTGTCACTCCGAACAATTTTGACTTTTTCTTGAAATTGTGTCAAAACCATGCTGTAGAATTTTTGAAACACACTTGCAACCTCTGATTTCTCTCTTAACAAATACACCCAACAAACTCTTGTGTGATCATCGATGAATGTAACAAACCATTTTTTTCCAGATGAAGTTGAAATTCTAGAGGGACCCCAAACATCAGTATGTAATAGAAAAAACGGTTTTGAGGGCTGATAAGGATGCATAGAAAATGTAGACCAATGATGTTTAGCCAATTCGCAGATTTCACATTGAAAAGAAGATGAATCTTTATTCTTAAACAAATCTGGAAATAAGTATTTCATGTAATAAAAACTAGGATGTCCTAGTCTAAAGTGCCATAACATAATCTCTTTATTACTAGTAATAGAGACAGACCCGTAACATGTGTTTTTGATTGGTGTTGTCATATCTGATCCATCTTCAAGGAAGTAAAGTCCCCCATTTTCTCTAGCACATCCAATCATCCTCCCCGTGGTCAGTTCCTGAAACTCACAAAAAGAGGGGAAAAAATTAATCCGACACATGAGATCCCTAGTTAATTTACTTATGGACAGCAAATTGCATAACTTTGGAACATGAAGAACTCTATGAAGTGTTAGAGTAGGAGAGATGACAACGGAACCTATGCCAGCTATGACGGATAATGATCCGTCAGCAACCTTGACCCTTTTATTGCCTGCACATGGACTGTAGGTAGAAAATAATTGTGACACACTAGTCATATGGTCAGTGGCCCCAGAATCAATAACCCATATAACCCGTGGACAAGATGCATTTGATGTTTTACATGAAAGAGCAATAGTAAAAGGTTTACCATTTTTAGCAAAAGAACAGAAAGGAGTGAAGCTTTTTGGCTCAGTGACTGAAAATTGTGGAGACTTAAAGAGTTTGTACAGTTGGCTTAATTGTTCCTTTGTGAAGGCTGGTGTCTCAAAGTCAGTTTGTTGCTTTTGAGAATCCTCATTCACAGTCTGCAACACCTTGCTATCACCTCCATTTTTCTTCTTGAAATTCGATGGTTTCCCATGTAATTTCCAGCATGTGTCCTTTGTGTGCCACGACTTTTTACAGTGTTCACACCAAGGCTTCCTTCTTTTATCCCCGTCCAAATCTGTCCCCTTAGAAACCAATGCTGAAGTCTCAACTTCATAAGGGTTTGTACAGTTGGCTTAATTGTTCCTTTGTGAAGGCTGGTGTCTCAAAGTCAGTTTGTTGCTTTTGAGAATCCTCATTCACAGTCTGCAACACCTTGCTATCACCTCCATTTTTCTTCTTGAAATTCGATGGTTTCCCATGTAATTTCCAGCATGTGTCCTTTGTGTGCCACGACTTTTTACAGTGTTCACACCAAGGCTTCCTTCTTTTATCCCCGTCCAAATCTGTCCCCTTAGAAACCAATGCTGAAGTCTCAACTTCATCCTCTGCCTTGGACTTTGGTGATGACTTCAGCATCACCTTACGCCTTGATTCTTCTCTTCTGACTTCAGAAAATACTTCACGAATGGAGGGGAGAGGCTTCCTGCCCAAAATACGACCTCGCACCTCATCGAGTTCTTGATTTAGTCCAGCCAAGAAGACATAGACTCTGTCGTTCTCCTCCCGTTTCTTGTATCGAACACTGTCTGCACGGCAGTCCCATTCATCCTCATAACAAAGATCCAATTCCTGCCATAAAGTTACCATCTGATTGTAATAGGTTGTAACATCTCTATCTTCTTGTCTTGATTTCCACAATTTCGTCTTGAGATTGAAAATTTGAGACGAATTCTCTATATCGGAATACATATCCCGGACAGCGTCCCACACATCCTTGGCTGTGGGCAGAAATAAGTGTGGCTTTCCTATTGCTGGTTCCATAGAGTTTATCAACCAAGCGATAACTAGAGAGTTCTCTGAATGCCATCTCTTCAAATTGGGATCTTCAGCAGCTGGTTGTTGAATTTCTCCAGTAAGGTGGCCGAGTTTACCTCTGCCATCGATAGCCAGCTTTACAGATTGAGCCCATTCCAGATAATTGGAACCATTTAATTTATGAACGGTTATTTGTAGGGAAGAAGAATTTGAAGCGGAGTAATCTGTAGTTTGGATAACTACTGAAGACGAGGATGAGTCTTCTCTTGTGTGAGCAGTCGATCCAGTCATGGCTGCTCGGTAGTTCATGGCAGGAATTGGTACAGAGCCGGAGCTCTGATACCATGTAAACTTTAACAGAAAAGGAAAAAATGAACAAAAAACTCTCCTTTTCTTTATTTTCCCACTAACTAAATATGCTTACAAGGTAGGCATATATAGGACAACCCTATCATAGTTCTGCCATCACTTAAGGTAATAGAACCATGATTTTAGGGATTACATAATCAACTCATATCCTATCTATTCAAACTTGATTGATCATAAGCAATAAAATCCCATAATTATGGGAGGTAATTATGGAAGATAATATCTCCCATAATCATAGGAGATAATATCTTCGACAAGGATAAATGGATTGAGAATGATAAACAACATCGCTGTGGTTTCTGATCTCTCCTCGGTTTGTACTCGGACGTTGAATCCAAAGATAGGAGTCTTTACTTTTCAAGCATGTGTTTGATTTGGTCATAAGTAGTATTGTAGATTTATAATAAATTGCTTAACTAAGGTAACTATTGGTCTTGAAGACCAGGTCGGCTTTCACAGCAATGGATGTTCGAATAATATTTTAATAATCAGTTAAGTTATGGTGGAGAAAACCTAGGATGACTCTATATAAACCTGGCCAAGGGAAGTGTTGAAGACACTAATTTATTAGGTAATTTTGCTTGTAAACCCATATAATTCAGACTGATATTCTTGATTCTTGCGATCTTGGAAAACGAGGAAGCACAAGTACAAGAAAGTATATGATGCTCAAGAGTCAAGTTAAATATCATTTCCAGCTAATTTTCTTTGAGCATTTGTGAAATAAGAATAGTAGCTTGTGTTGCTCCCTGATTTATATTTTTTGATATTGAATGATAATTGCTTATTAACATCCTGTTGGATCTAACTTTGGCTGATTTCCTATGTACTGAGACGTGAAAACATGATGTTTGGGTACCAAGCTTAAGTTGTTTGCTTATGTTAAAAGTTGAAATTGACATTGCAGACTGAGTTAAATGAAGAAGAGGTGTCAAATCTTCGTGATCGGCTTCTTCCTGTTATTATTGGATTGCTTAGAACTGTAAGTTCTATATCTTGTATGCCATTTTTGTTCTTGAAGATCATGTTGACTTGTTACTTGTTGATAAGATGAATTATTCGGCTGTAAAACTGTGTCAAATATTTTTCTTTAGTATTTGATTTGGCAGCATGTTGAATGAAAAGGAAATGCGTTGTTGTTCTAAGATTATTGTTTGCTCTTGCAATGAAGGTAAAGAAAAATTTTACATAAAACGTTTATATGATATAAAGATAGACTGCCTTGACAGCTTGTATCAGTCAAAGATGAGGAGTAACTTGTTGTGTGAACTAGATGGAGTCATATAGGTCATTACTTATTTGATGCAGTGCTTACTTACAGGATAGGTAATTACTGGAATTTTGCAGTGCGTGCTTTTTTCATAGGTGATTGCTTAAATTATGCAGTGCTTCAGGTGGCTTACATCTGAGCATTTGATTTGACTCCTCACCCCTTTTTTCCTCCTTAGGTATAGGAGTTTTTGCTGTTCTCATACGCTGACAAGTCTACCTGACTTGTGCATGAATTGCTTTAGTTGGTTTCATCGAAGTTTTTGTTAACATGTTTTGTGATAAGTGTTTAGTTTTGCTTTTGTTTAGTTACTTTTTTGTTGCCTTTGTTTTCTTTTCTTTTCTCTTTCTTTCTTTCTTTTGCTTTCTCTGCTTTACTGATTTTTCCATCTTCTATGGATTTGTTTAGAGTTTAGTCATGTGTGTCACTTAGGATAATTTGTTAAATATATGATGCTTGCTTTCAGGCAAGACTCCCTGCTGTGTTGAGAATATATCGTGATACACTTACTGCTGATATGAAAGCTGCTTTCAAGGCAGCAGTTTCTGAGCTGCTTCCAGTTCTTGTTGCGAAATCTTTGGGCTTGGAGTTTATTTCAGGTGGAAGAATGGTGAATACAGATGGTGGGTCTCATAACATGCTTGTTCGCTTCATCCTTTTGTTTTTTTTTCTTTGCCCTTTACTGTGTAAAGAAAAGCTTCAACAGCACTAGTTGCCAACTGACGACTAATGAACCTTCAATATTCCTAGGTTGGTAGTTATTATGATTGGTTTTTTTTTAAAAAATTTTATCTCAAATTTTTTTAATGGTGGGATCATAATGCCAGTTGCCATTGGTACTGTAGAAGCTTAAATAGTCATTGGTTAGTGGCTGATATCGCTGAAGCATTTGTTGTTTCTAGATCTTTTTTATTTTTTATGGTGGAAAGAACAGCTTCAGTAGTACCAGTGACAACATCAATAGTTGTTTGTTGCTAGTTGCTACTATTGAATTTTTTTATTTTACTTCTTTTGTTTGTTTCTCTTATTATTATTATTATTATTATATTTTTTTTGGAGGGGGGGTGTTGGGTCAGTAACAATTGATCATGAATGCTGATGTCAATTATATCATCCTCAAGTTCTTTGCCGGGCACATATGATAATTCCATGTCTTTTAGTACATTGCTTTCTTATTTTCATTGTTCCTCTTTTTGACAAACATAAATTGTCAGGGGGAGGTTCCTCGCTTGCAGATAAGCTGAAAAATCTGTCACCTGAATGCTTTCTCCAACTTTTAAGTGCTATTTTCATTGTCGTACAGGTAATGCATATGTGCTCATTACTTTAATGCTGCATTCTCTGTTTTATTCATCTTTTAGACTTAATATTAATTAACTATCTCTTGGTTAACTGTTCATTACAAAATGGAAATCAGTCATTACCACTTCAAACGTGGTAATGACTGATGTCTTGTTTCATGATGCCGACATTAGTTTAGATTGCCCTTAGTTTAGGTTTTGTTGAATGGTTTCCTTCCTCTTTAAGATATATGGTATTTGGAGTCACCTATTTCCCTCCTTTTGGATGTAAATTGTGCATGTTTTCTTGAATTATGGGGATCTACGAATGAGTTTGATGCTGACTTAAACAGTTATGTATTTCTCCTCTTTCATTCATTTTCTGTCACCAGTGAATTCCATTTCCATGTAATCTTGTATTAGAGGACTTGAATAAGACTAATGCAGCTCTATATTTTGTTAGGGTAGATTTTACCAATTTCACTTTGAAGTGATCCTCCTGCTCAGATTGCATAAAACTGAATAGTTTTTTAGCTATTCATGAATATTTGATAATGAAGTAACTCTAGACACATAACTTTAGCTCTTCAACTGTATTGCCATAAATTCTTGTAGTAGGATGCAGAGTAGCTGTTGATCTTTGACTCAGCTGTACGTTCATGAAGGCTCATTTTTTGCTTTTTGTTTGCTTTTTTCCCCATTAATTTTAACATGTACATAGCTTATTCCTTTTGATTTAACTTGCTGCCTCGTGGTTTCTCAATAATAAGTTTCCAAAAGGCTGCCTATAGCTGTTCTGAACTTTCGTAAGTCCTTTGGAAGCTTTACTTCTTCTTTGTTATCATAGTAGCCAGAAGTTTGTGTAGTGAGCAGTCCAAAGGGTCTGTTCTGTTCATTTATCCTGCTGTAAAAGATTCAGCTATACAGCAGGCCTTTTTGTTGGTCCATTCATATAGCAGAAGTTGTATTCTCTTTGTTCTGGCAATGGTATTGCATATAGCCAGGTGGTTAGTTGTCTTCACTCTTAAGGCATATGCAGTTAATGTCTTGAGCTATGCGTCTTTGGTTTATTGCCATTTAGTATGCTTCTGTGAGTTGCTGCATGGATGATAATGCCTCTTTTTTAGATACAGAAATGTTCCAAGTTTGTCCACAGGGAACTCTTGAAAAATTACAGCAGTATTTAACAAATTCTGGGCAATCAAGTTAAGTTACAGAACAAAAAATATTAAAAGCTCAAGATACTTTTGCATCAATTCTCTTCTTTTGGAAAACTCATTTTTGTTTCTTGTTGCCATCAATGTTGAAAAGAATTTTTAACGAGCCTGGCCATGTTCTTTGCCTTCTCTCTGAAATAGGAAACGTCGAAATATATGTTTAGATTTGGGTTGCTGTCACATTGTTCTCCCAAACTTTTCTTGCAAGTTTACTTCTTTTTTCTTAATTATCAATGTGTAATTAATCTCTTTTGTATCTTACATGTTCTATAAATCTTTTCCGTAGCAACTTATCAGAATTTTTGTTACAATTTTAAACTCTAGTTTACAATGACTGGTATCTTTATCTAGTTATCATAGAGGATTAGACTAACATGGAAGCAAACTTGCATACCTGTCAGCAAATCAAACTCTATTTTGCAATGATAAATATATTTGCTTTTTCATCGTAGAGCATTATGACTAATTTGACAACAATATAGCTAACTTCCATTAATAGTTGGACGGTTATATGACTAATGCTTTAGAGTATATTGCAAAAAGGTTGTGTGGTTAACTGTTGAATCAAAGTTTTGTACTTGTGTCAACTAATTCTGATGCAAAAGAGTTAAACCTCAGCATGTGACCAAGTTGGCTTTTGCTTTTTAACCCCAAGTTTTTAGCCACTACTAAAGGTGAATCCTAATTCTAATTTTAGATTTTGCTGGTTCAAAGTTTGTTAGGACAAATAGTTACTTCTAGGACTAAGTGTTCTCTTGTCAAAACCTTTAGAAATGAGGCTTTTTCTTTGACTTGTACAAGGTGATGTGACCTAGTAAAACGTACCAGGGACCATTTGCAAAATACACCTCTGTGAAAGGAGATGCTACGAATTGCAGGAGAATTTCTTATAATGGTGTGTTTTAACCTTTGTTGGAGTGATACTTACTAAATCCTTGGTAATATTCTAAAGTGATACCTACTAAATCCTTGGTAATATTCCAAGAATCTCCTGTATCCTTTTGCCTGATAACCTACTTATTTAATCTTTAGAATTAGTTCCTGTTCCTGCAATCTTTAGATAGCTGCATCAAATTCTGACTTTCTTCATTTGAATTCAATTCTAGCACTAGAGTTTCAAGGATCAGTTCAATCCCGTTGGAAGAACCAAAAGTATTTGATTTTCGCACGACCCAAGAGATTCTTTAGTTTGTTATTACTCTGTTTTCCATTATCGTAAATTGTTTCTCTTTCTCCTTGTTGCCACCCCCCCTTTTTTTTGTGTTGTGGGGGGGGGGGGGGGGGGAGAGAAGGGAGTAGGCCTGTCAACGGGTCGGGTCTA